TCATATGGACTGGCTTTTCAGGCATCTTCACTGAAAGGCCCAGGGTTCTACTTTTTTGGCTTTTTAAGTTTTTAATTTCAGTTAGTTTATGTTAGGTATATTAGTTTCAGGTGTACAGTCTAGTGTTTCAGCAATTCCATATATTACCTGTTGCTCATCATGAGAAGTGCACTCCTAAATCATCTCTTTAATCCATTCCCCCACTGACCTCCGCTCCAATAACCATGTTTGTTCTCTATAATTAAAGAGTCTATTTCTTGTCTCTCTCTTTCTCCTTCCACCACCTCCTTTGTTTGTTTTATTTCTTAAATTCTACATGAGTGAAATTATATGCTTTTTGTCTTTCTCTGGTGATTTATTTTGCTTTGCATTATACTCCTTAGCTCTACCCATGTCATTGCAAATGGCAAGATTTCATTCTTTTTAATGGCTGAATAATATTTACCATATTTTCTTTATCCAATCATCAACCGATGGACACTTTGGCTGCTTCTGTATCTTAGATATAGTAAATAATGCTGCTATAAACATAGGGGTTCATGCATCCCTTTGAATTGATGTTTTTATATTCTTTGGGTAAGTATCCAGTAGTGCAATCACTGGATCATAAGGTAGTCCTATTTTTAACTTTTTGAGGAACCTCTATACTGTTTTCCACAGTGGCTGCACCAGTTTTCATTCCTACCAGTGTTACTAAACGGTTCCTTTTTCTCCACATCTTCACCAACACCTGTTATTTCTCATGTTGATTTTAGCCATTCTAATAGGTGTGAGATGACATTTCATTGTAATTTTGATTTGCAGTCCCCTGATGGTAAGTGATGATGAACTTTTCATGTGTCTGTGGGTTGACTGTCTTCTTTGGAGAAATGTCTGTTCATGTCTTCTGCCCATTTTTTATTAGATTATTTGTTTTTTGGGTGTTGAGTTTTATAAGCCCTTTATAGATTTTTGATACTGACCTTTTATCAGATATGTCATTTGCAAGTATCTTTTCCCATTCTGAGGGTTGCCTTTTAATTTTGTTTCCTTTTCTGTGCAGAAGCTTTTTAATTTGGTGTAGTCCTAATAGTTTATTTTTGCTTTTGATTCCCTTGCCTCAAGAGACATATCTAGAAAGAATTTGCTATGGCTGATGTCAAGGGAGTTACTGACATGTGCCTACTTCTGACTGGTTGGAACATGAATGTCTCCCAACCATCTGTGTACTGTCAGTTCACAGCTCCCCTGTAGTTCTTTACCTGGCCTCATGATGCCACACCCTAAACGTGTACAGTTTAGCACTCAACTCAGCTGAAGACTCAAGGAGATCCCTGTGCAGATTGCTGGAGTTCTCTCTGCATAATTCTCTCTTCTCTGATACCCTGAGCCACAAATTCCAGTCACCACTGTCTCCAAATTCTGATCTCTCTCCTCAGGACAGCAAGACTGTCATACTCTGCTTGAATTCTTCCCTGCACCATGATCCAGAAAGTATCTCTGGCAGAAAGCTGGGGATTTGTAGAACTCACTTTGTTTCTCTTGCCTTATTATTTTTCAAGAGACCCACTCCAGTACCAGTTACTCCAATGTGTTTGGAAGCAAAATTCAGGCCATCTCTTGTTTGGTTATATCTTGTTCTTTGCTTATGTTTGTTGTTGTTGTTGCTTATTTAAACTTTAAAAACATTCATTTTATATTGTCTGACAAGTCCAATATCCAAAATCTTGGATGTCTAATTTAATGTTTGATATTTATTTTCATTCACTTTGGCTTATACTTTTAAGTTTTGGATTGTGAGCTCATGCTCCACTGGATTATCTCTGTGGGAATCCTATGGAGTCTAGGTTGAGAGTGAACATCTTCAGAGAGGATTTGTTTGCTTCCACCAAGCATTCTGAGAGTTTCCTAGATCTCATAGCATATGTATACATGTGAACCCAAAATATTTCTGAGGACAGACCTGGGTTATACATTCACAGAAGGTTCCTTAACCAAAATATTTTTTTCTCTAAGGCAGAGATATGCAAATTTCCTTGTCATCTTGTATCAAGGGTCCCGGATTTATATTTAGGAGTCTTATTTAAAGTTTGGTATTTTGTTCAGGCCCAAGGTTTTGTTTCATATCTCTACAACCATTAAAACCCACGTTCTGGGTCATTGGATTAACGAAACAGCCTCAGGACAGCTGTGGTTTTAGTGCTAGCTTACTGCTTGGTTTCCTGAGTCCTCTTTTCAGCACCTGTAGATTTTCCTTACTCTCATGAGCTCCAACAGGCAATTAAAAGGGTACTTGATTTATGTTATTTAATATTTCTATGTGATTTTTTTTTCCAGGCCATTTAATCCATACTAATGTTGGAAATGGAAGTCTGATCTAGGTTTTACTGCCCATCTGGTTCCCTCTTCCTTTGGCCCTGGGTGGAGAAGACAGAATGGATTCAGCACCAGGGACTTTGCCTAATGCAACCATATGCTGATTGTATGACCTCTGGCAATCCCTTCCTTTCTCAGGGCCTCAGTCTCCTTCTTTATACAGTGAGAGATTAGGTACCCTAATCCCAGGTTTTCCTTCCAGTTTTAATTTTCTTTGAGTCTACTCATGATAGTCTTCCCCCTTTCCTGGGCCTTCTACTGGGTCAACTTGAAAAAGATTTGGAGAAAGAGTGCTCAGTGATAAAGGAATCCTGCTCCCATTTCCTACAGGTGCTGGGGCTCCTGACCATTAAATGTCCCCCTGATAGATGAGTATCTAGGAGGTGAGTAATGGGGTCACTCTTTACTTCCCTGCTGGCACAGATAGCACACAGCAAGGCCTCCTAACAAAACTTAACTTCTAGGGTCTGGCTCTAATTCCACCCTCACTTCCCCCAAGAAGTCTTTCTAAAACCTGAGGATCAGGTAGAGAAGAGTACTACTCCATGGATGGCCAAGATTGGTAATTAATTGGTAGTAGCTGCCTGGACCTTTGTGATAAGATGTTCCTGAAGCATCACTTCAGTTCAGAGTGTTGTGATTGATTAATGATGCCTGCAAGGAACTGGGGTGAACAACAGTACCATGTGTGTCATGTGTTTGTCATGTGTGGAGTGTCCACTTGAGTTATGCTATGCCTTTTTACTTTAGAAAGTCTTGGACCTAGTTCAAGGAAGAAGATGAGAGGAGGTAGACTGAAGGACAAGTCTAGCTGATCAAGTCAGATGAGAGTTTATGATTTCCAGATAATTTTATACCTTCACATCATACCTGGTTTATTGGGGGCATTGTTGGGGGGTGAAGCCTTATCCCTCTCTCCTGGTGTTTCTATGAAGATAGGGGCTCTCCCTTTTCTCCCTCCTCCTCAAGGGACAATTTGATTATGTAGCACTGGACATTCACTGGACCCTGTTTCACCAGTGAAAGACATGCCTGCTCAAGTTTGCTCATCATGGGCCCATTTTCAGTGCAGTGAGCACCCGGAGTTGGGCTGGGGGCCCTTTAGAGACAGTTCTGTGCTCCCTGTACACGCAGCTGTTGAAGTGCACAGCTTAGCAAGCATGCCCAGGTGTCCAATTCAGGGAAGAAGGTAGGAGGGCCAGAGTCTCCAGTCCAATCTTTACCAGAGTCCTGCCTGAGGGGCTGGAGGGTGCCTGCACTCCAGGACAGAGGTAGGGCTTGCTTCCCCTTGCCTTCTAATCCTTGTATGCCCTTGTGCTTAGAAAGAGGGGCAATGGAGGGGAGAGTAGTTAGACATCCAGGGCCGCTAGCAAATATCAAGCGCTTAGGTATCAAAAGGTGGAGACTTAAGAACATAGCACGTCATTTCAAATCCATTTCTAGGGGAATACATGTATAATTCAAAACATACCTTTGAATGATACAAAGGATAGAAAGTAAACCTCAAAAAATTCAGATTAAAAAGTATCGATTATAATGGGGCACAAGGAGTTAAATATAGAGCACATCACCAAATATTGCCCATAGATCAGGGTCTATAGTCTTTTCCAAGTTTGCAGAATTAGGGAGACCTTCTGGGGTCTAGGCCCTACTCCAGGAAGTGGCTCTTGGGCACCTCAGACAAATAGGCCCAGAGCTGGTGACTACCAGCAGGGGATAGTCAGTACATGAGCAGGGAGAGGGGGCTGCTATCTCCAGGCCTGAGAGGCTGGTAAGGACTCTTGAGGCCTGTCAGCTTGGGAAGGGGTCTCTAATCCACCCAAGAGCACTGAGGCTGGGCTAAATGAGGGCATTAACACACACGTGGTGGCGGCGGGGGCGAGTGGTGGTGGTGGTGCACAGGCCTCTGGCTTTCTGGGTGCCACCAGAGGGCCCCCAGGAGTGGCCTGTCACCATCTTCTCTAGCCTGTTCCATGCTCCCTTCCCTCTCATTCCACCTGCCCCTAATTCTACCTCTTCCCTAGTTTCCTCTTCCCTCAGTCCTCTCCCTGTCCTCTCCTGAGTGGCTCTCCATCTCTCCCCCCATCTATTCTCTCTGCTCTCCCTCCTCTCCTTCTCTGTCTCTCTCCTCCCTCTTCTCTCCCACCCCCTCTTTTCCACCTGGGCCAGAAGCAAAGCCCTTTACACCCAGTTAAGGTTTTCAATTAGCAATAATCGCGCCTCGGATAAACCTCATTGGCTACGATACTGCCACTGCGCAAAGCTACACCCAGTTAAGGATAGGGGGGCACAGTTTAGTTCCATCCAAGACCTCCCCAGGGTTAACAGACCCTTTGGCTTGGCCCCCTTGGAGTGAGACATTTCCTTGGGAATGAGGGGTTCTCTGGCTGATTTAACTGGCCACAGAGGAAGCTCTGGGTCCGAGGAACCAAGTTTCCAAGGACTCAGCCTAGAACAGGGCTTGGCGGGGGAGGGTCCTTGTAGGAGCCAGCCTACCCCATGGCCTCACCCAGATGCTGGAGACACACTTATTTATTATGCAGAGGCTCAGAGAAAGCGGGTGGGAGACTTTGGAGGCAGGGCTGCGGTGGCTGTGAGAGGAGCTGTGTCCAGGCTTGGAGCCCTGGATAGCCATAGGGGCAGCATCATTTCTTGGAGGACTGTTTTTTCCAGGAGGCCACCTTCTTACTGCCCCTCCTGGTTTTGCTGAGAGTAGGCAGGTCCACTTCAGGTGGTTTCATTCTAAAAATCAAAATAGAGAGAAGCAAATACTGGGAAATGGGTGGAGAGAACTGGTGTGGACAGAGCTGAGAGCCCTGCCCTGGCCTGGCCCGAGCCGAAGTGGGCCTGGCCCTCCGCCTTGCACAGCTGAGGCTCTCTGGGTATTGCTCCAACCTGGGGTCCCAGCGGCACCTGTGACCTTTCTAGGTGCTCATAATTTTGCTTTTCTATCTTCATAAGAATTGTGTGATTTTCACGCTCTTGCAGAATACATAATTCGCTTCAGTTAACATGGCCACATTAGTGGACTTTTGACAGGTCTAGAAAGTTCCTTGCAGGGAGACAGCAGGCAACCTCCACCCTTCTCAGACTGATGGTCTGGGTTGTAGGGTTTCACCGCAAAGTCTACAAGAGGCCTCAATCTCCACCACCCAGACCACTGCCAGTAGCTCCAGGGAACAGGCTTGATGCCCAGCTAGACCTGGGCAGTTAGTCAGATGTCAGGGATGGCCTGGGGGTGGGGTGGGGTGGAAGGGTGGGGGGGAAGTGACTTGCCCAAGGCCACTTAGCCCCACATGAACTCTGTGGCCTATGGCAGAGCCAAGGGCCCTGCTGTGAACCACGCCCATTCTGTTGATCACAGGAGGGCCCCGCAGCTCCCAGGCCAGGGTGGCCACCTACTTCTTCTCAGCCTCAGGAGAGGACTCCTCCATCTTGTCCTCCAGGGCCAACGAAGAGAAGCTTCCTTGGATGTCTTCTGATATTGCCTTCATGGCTGAGTCAGGGTCTTCCAGGCCCGGGATATAGGTTGAAAGGCTGTAGGGGAGGCAGGGAAGGGAGGGCAAGGTTCAGCAGAGGCACAGCCAGAGGGAGCCCAGAGTCAGCAACTCTCGCTTGGCACTGCCAGCTAACATTCCAGTTCTGAGAGAGAGGAGGGTACAGGGCTTCTCCACCCCAGGGTGGGTAAAGGGAGAGCCTGACCACTGGAGATCCAGAGACTCCCCAGAGGTTGGCTTCTCTGGCTTCTGTTTGAGGAAGGGATCATCCTAACTCTGTGTCAGTGACCCTTGTGCACCCAGCACTGACCACCAAAAAGGCCTGTAGGGGTTCCGGGGGCGCCACAAGGTGGGGATAGGAGGCCAAGGAAAGAAGCCATCATGTATAGTCTTATGGGCTGATCGTGTCCCCCTCCCCAAATCCACTCCCCAAAACCCCTCTACCCCAGAATGTGACCTCATTTGGAAATAAAGTAGGGTCACTGCAGATGTCATGAGTTAAGAGGATGTCATACCAGAGGAGGGTGGACCTCTAACACAACATACCTGGTGTCCTTATGAAAAAGGGGACAAGGTGGACACAGACACACAGATGGGGGAACACCACGTGAAGCCTGGAGGAATAACACTGCCACAAGCCAGGGAGTACCAGAAGCCAGGAGACCAGCCTGGGGCAAGTCCTTCCTTCGAGCCCTCAGAAGAAGTGAGGCCTGCCCACACCTCTGTCTCTGGCCGCCAGAACCAGGAGACAGTACATTCCAGTGTCAGCCATTCAGTCTGAGGAACTGTTGCAGGAGTCTTAGGAAACTAATGAATACAGAGACAGGACAGGCCCTTTTATTCATTATTTCTTCATATTTATTGAGTCCCTGTTAGGCCACTTGCCTGAGCAGCGGAGGGGAGAGGAGGGCCTCTGTCATAGAAAAATGAAAAATGGAGGTGTGGACTGGGCTCTCCTGTTGGACAGAGGTGGCAGGAAAGTAGATTGTGGGAGTGCGTCTCGTGAGACCTTCTGAGCACCACGGTGGTGCAAAGAGCTCCCTGTGCCCCCACCCAAGCTGCTCCTACCTGCCTGCACCCCCCGCCCCGGGACAGGTCACAGCTCAGCATTTCCTAGGAACTCAAAGCACAGGTAAATGAAGAAATGGGAGTGCAGCCGAGTGGGGCACCGGAAAAGGAGCCCTAGGTGGGAGCTGCCACTAGCAGGTTACATGATGTGAGAGTCATGGTGACCAGGACGGGGAGTATCGGCCGGCCGTGCTGTGCAGGGAGGCCCTCCATCGGGCCTGGGCTGTGCTGGCAAACGAAACATTCTGGCAGCTGGGGAGACGCTCTCCTCTGCCTGGGCCGGGGCTGATGGAGAGTGGGACCTGGTGTTACCAGAGCATGGAGGGTGGGCTTTGGGGACCCAGTCAGCCTGGAGCTCACTAACGGGAAAACAGCGCCTCCCCTTCCCCCTCCCTCAGCTGTTAGCACCTACAGAGCATCTCCCCCTCACCCCCCACCCCCACTTTTAAGTTGTGGTTAAAAGTATAAAACATAAAATGTACCCGTTCTTCAGCGCACACTTTGTGGCGTTAAGTACATTCACATTGCTGCGGGTCACCTCCATCTACCTCCAGACTTCTTCACCTTCCCGAGCTGAAACCCTGTCCCCATGAAGCACTAACCCCCACTGTCCCTCCCCAGCCCCTGGTAACACCACCCTACTTGCTGTCTCTGTGTTTGACTCCTCTAGGGTCCTCACGTAAGTAGGACCGTGCAGTGTTTGTCCCCTTGTGACTGGCTCATCTCACTGAGCATAGCGTCCTTGAGGTGCACCCATGTTGTCGCGTGTCAGAATTTCCTTCCTTTTTAAGGCTGAGCAATATTCCACCATATGCACAGACCACAGTTTATCAGTTCATCCCTGGATGGGCACTTGGGTTGCTTCCACTTCTTGGATCTTATGAATAATACTGCATGAACACAGGTGTACTAAATACCTTGTCGAAACTCTGCTTTCAACTCTTTCAGGTATCTACCCTCAAGTGAAATTGTTGGATCATAATTCTATTCTTTTAACTGTTTGAGGAACTCCCAGACTGTTTTCCATAGCAGCTTGCACTATGTCACATTCCATTCCCACCAGTAGTTCACGCGGGTTCCAATGTCTCCACAGCCTCGCCAAAACTTGCCATTTTTGTTTTTTGGAGAGTGGCGTTCCTAATGGGTATAAGGTGGTATTTCACTGTGGTTTTGGCTTGCATTCCTCTAATGATCACTGCTCTTCACTCATTTTTTTAAAAATCAATTTCTGCATCTTTGGATCATTGAAGGTAAGTAAAGCATGTGGAGATCGTGTTCACTTCTGAATCCCCAGGGCTGAGCATGAGGCCGGTCACGCAGTAGTTGCTCAGAAACGAATGAGTGGCATGACTTTTAGGTTAAAAGCAGGGGCTGCGGGGATCCCTGGGTGGCTCGGCGGTTTGGCGCCTGCCTTTGGCCCAGGGAGTGATCCTGGAGTCCCAGGATCGAGTCCCACATCAGGCTTCCTGCATGGAGCCTGCTTCTCTCTCTGCCTGTGTCTCTGCCTCTCTGTGTGTGTCTCTCATGAATAAATAAATAAAATCTTAAAAAAAAAAAAAAAAGCAGGGGCTGCTTCTGAGGAGCCTCCCATTCCTGAAGGTAGAGGAGGGGTGGCCGGATGACCATGGCGGCTGCTCATCAGTGGACACTCTGGCAACCAGCCCTTCCTCAGTCTAACCTGACCTCTACCTCCCAGGGATAAGATCAGCTCTAGATCATCATTCAGCGAAAATGTCCCAAGGGGTTCTATGTGCTGGGCCCTGGGGCTGAGCAAAGGACACAAAGAGGAGGGAGGTGGGGCATGTGATGCAGGACACCCGGCCCTCTGGGCTGGCACAGCTTAACAGGTGCACAGAGACCTGCAGCTCCTTCCGAACCCATGTCTGCTCCTCAGGGCAGAGCTGGCTCTTCAGGCCTGCATGAATCTCCGGGCAGTTGTCCCGGGCCGGGCCTGCCCCCACCCTTCTGCTCTGTCACAACCAGGCTACTCACCAGTGGGCACCCACTCCGTCCTCTGCTGGGGCTTGGGAGGCCTCCGTGGGGAGCCCTCCGTCCCTGGGCAGCCAAGCTCCTTCACTGGCCACAGTCAGACCCAGCTCCTCTTCCTGCTCAGAACCCTGCTTCTCCACGGGAGCCTCACAGACTCGAGCCCAGACGGAGGGCTGTCTCCGTGGCGGGATCTGCCCTCGCTCTGCCCACCTGCCTGCGTTTACTCTGCAGACCTGTCTCCCCTTCCTCTCACCTTCCGGCCTCAAATCCTCCCACTGTAGCTGTACAAAACCGGGCGGATTCAAAGTCTATCTCTGGCAAGGAAGAAATGACTCCAGCTCCGGTTATCTTCTGACTCGACCACACGAGCGACCCCAAGCAGGCCCTACCTCGCTGGGCCCAGCCAGGCCTCAGACCTTCAAGACAAGAATACAAATGGCTGTGTGGTTTTGTATCGTCAAGCTTGAGGTGGTGGTTCGCTTCACAGATGTAGATAAGAGAACTGTTGTTATGGCAACATTTGCTTGTAGAATTCCGTTCCCTTTTTTCTCTAAGTGCTTTCAAACTGCCAACCTAATAGGCCATTCCAGAATTAAGAGGAGTCCTACTGATTTATAGTCTCAGGAATCCTCCCCTTTCCACTTGCAAACACCCTGACCGTGCATGCGCGTGTGAGTCTGTTTTTGTCTGTGTGTGTCTCTGTGTGTCAGTGTGTGTGTCTGTGTGTTTGTGTCTGTGTCGCTTGTTGATTCTTTCCCCACCATTTCTCAAAAACTTACTGAAATCTGTTGTAAGCATGAGGTCCTTTCAGGACCCTTGCGTACAACAAATTAGGAGCCTAGAATTCACTTCAATAATAGTAGCAGGACTAACAATTGTAATTTGTAACCTCGCAATTGATGTTAGTGATGCCAGAATTTCACAAATACCTGACTCACCTAATCCTCACAACCCAACACAGTGCAAACCATGCTCATTCTTGCCTAATAGACAAAGTAGCTGAGGCAGAGGGTAAGTGGTCCTTTTAAGGACAGTGGAAGCCTGATAAAGAGCTACATGTTCTGGTAACTAGCTTTTGGCATCTTCCACTCCCCATCTATGACCTGCCCCTACCCCCCAGCACCTCGTCTGTTAAATATCTCTGAAAAAAGCCTCTGCTTGCTGTCTTTGGCACCTTCCAGTGGCCTTTGTTCATCTTCAGTATGGGCCTCCTGGATGTCATCCTCCCCATCACCTGTTTTTGGTATAGTTCTTTCTTGAACCTGAGCAGACCCAGAACCTCCATTTCGCTTTTTCCCTGGGACTGTCAATGAGCTAGTTGGTCTTGAAGGACCCCCAAGCCCTCCTTGAGTCTCAGGCCGTGGGGTCTCGGTGACTTTCTTCTCTGCACCTGGCTGCATCTGCCCTGCCTGATGTCCACAGGGTCCTTGGGATCCCTTCTCTATTAAACAGTCCAGATGCAGGGCTCAGGGCATGACCTCTATGGTTCATCCCAGAGGAACCTCTTTAGGGTCAGGCCGACATTCTGGCATGGCTCAACCTCGGTGCACTGGGGAGTGCGGGCCCAGGCAGCCCATGTGTGCAGGTGGGTGATGCGCTTTATGTGTATTTGCTCCTCACTTCATGGTATGCGGCACCTCAGCAAACACACTTTCCTAAGAGGTGGGACTTAGCATTCTCATTTTAAAGGTGAGGACAATGAGGATTAGGGAGGCAAATGGTCCCCCGGCTTACAAAGAGCAGAGTTGGGGCTCCCACCTTGTCACGGGACTCCTGACCCACAGTACAGCGCAGGCCTTCCAGAATCCACTCTTAACACAGCCTCCAGCAACGTCGTAAACTGTGGGTTCTTTCCCTGGACAAGGCTCCACACTTCTTGAGCCAAGAGACCTACCTCTGTTCGCCTCACCCAAGCCGGGCCTGGGAGGCGCTCAATAGATGAGCTTCACCTGGTTGAAAAGCCGGCACTCAGTGGCCAAGAGGCAGTGGTAAGGCAGCACCACCCCACTTCCCTTCACAAGAGCCTGGCCTCACTTCATGAGGGACCCTTGTCTATGTGGCCCTGCTGGTAAACAGAAGCAGCACTGGGATTACACACAGGATGGGGTGGGGTGTAATGGAACAGAAGGTGGAGGTGTCCCTAGGACCCCTACACAAACCTGTCTTCATTATTTCCCCACAGAAACCAGCATTGTGCAAACCATACCATGTCCCCCACTCTCTAAGAGGGACCTTCCCCCAACTTGTATCCCAAAGAAACCAACAGCACGGCCTCAATCCCCCTTGTCACCTGCGAAGTCTTCTGCTTGCTGCCAGCTTCTGTTGCCACCAGTGTCCCTCCTATAGCAACGTTTCCTCCCACCCCGTGCCTGCCCTGCATCCCGAGTTTTTCCTGTTTTACCTAAATTTGTAGTTGTCTGGCAGGAAGTAGCCCATCTTGCAGTCTTGTCGAGCCTGGAAGATCTGTTTCAGCAGATTCTGCTTGCTGAAGCCATATCCATTCAAAACACAGCCTCCAAAAAGAAGCTTCCCCCCAGCAAACATCTGTCAATGGACAGGAAGGATGCAGTGGAAGAGGCCCGCAGCACACCAGCACTGAATCTCAGGACAGTGCCCTGGGCTCTCAGAGCTTGTGCCAGGAGCCAAGCCTCTCTCTGTTGGTGCCAGGCCCTCCCTAAGCCACCCAGCCTGTTCCCAGGGAGGGCATCCCCACCATCCTAACCTTTGCCCCCTGCTTGCCCACCTCCTCAGATGCCACTTCACACACAAGTGTTCCAGGGCCCTGCGGCCAGAAGGGTTTCTTCCTGCTTAGAGGGCCCTACCACACCCGCCTACAGCCGTCTGGCTCCATAGGATGGGAGCCTCTGGAGGGTAGGGCTCTTATCCTACTGCTCTCTGAATCCCCAACCTCTATATTCAGTCTCCAGCAAGTAGACAACTGTCCAAGGGTTTCTATGCAAGGATATCCATTATAATGTTATTTGTTATGTACCCCCCCCTCCCCAAACAAAATGGAAATAACATAAATGTCCAACAAAAGACTCACAGGTAGAGAAATCAAATGACAGATTCTTATGCAGTGATTAAAATCACAATTTAAAAACCTGGACCCCAAAGTCAGAAAAAAGACTGAAAAAGCCAGAGGCCAGAATGTTAGCATGGTTGTGCCCTGGCACTTCCAATAGTGCTGGATCTAGCAGGTGCCTGGTACGTACTTGTTGCATGAACAAATGAGACAATCTGGGTAATATGGGGAAGTAATTATTTTCTAAATTGTATATTCTAAATTTTCTACAATGAATATATATATATATATATTTTTATTTTTATTTTTTACAATGTCCTGTTTTTAGTAAAAAGTTATTTAAAAACAGATGAAGAGGAGGGCACCCTGGGTGGCTCAGTCAGTTAAATGTCTGATGCTTGATTTTTACTTAGGTCATGATCTCAGGGTCCTGAGATTGAGCCCTGCATGGGGCTCCATGCTCAACGGGGAGTCTGCTTGAGGATTCTCTCTCCCTCTCCCACCACCCCTCCCCCTGCTCACACTCTTTCTCTCCAATAAATAAATAAATCTTTAAAACAAAACAAAACAGTAAAAACAGATAAAGACAATTTGGTTCTCTAAGTTAGCTGTCCCCCAATCCCTTGAGCCTTCCAGGCTGAGGGATGCATGGGGTCAGGCTGGGAATAGGAGACTGGACTCCAGCCCTGGCTCTATGTGCTGAGTAAGTCTCAGCCAGGCTTTCTGTCCCCGTTCCTCAGATCCCACAGACTCTCTCTCCTCTCTGCTCCCATAACTGTGAGTCCACAAGTAAGGCTGTAGGAGACAATATTGGCAGGCGGTTGGCAGTTGGTGCCCCTGGGCCTTGCTCACCAGAATCATCCCCTGCACCACAGCATACTTCTTCACCAGTAGGGGTGGTTCCCTCTGCAGGGGGCTGTCCAGATCATACCGCAGCAGGCGGTAGGGGTCATGCCGGCACTGCCAAGACAGAAGTAAATGCCCATCAATCCTATGCCAAGAGGATGCACTCAGATTCCTGCATTGTCAGGCTGGTCAGGTTCCCATGGAGTCCTGGAGCTCCATTCAACACTGCCCCCTAACTCTTGTTCAATGGACTCTTCAGCCCTGGCACACACACCTCCCATGACCATTGCCATGACCGTTTGGGCATCTGGGTCCATCTAGGGCCTTCTTCTGGTGAGGGCTGTCATGGAGATGACTGCCTCCCACCACATGACAGCCACTAGCCCCACCCTTGAGGGTCTGCAGGACTTGACTGTCCCTTCTGCCTGAGAGAAGCCCTGCTGGAGATTTGAAGGTATACCATATTCATGGGTGTGTCCATTTTCAGGGTTCCTCCACCCTCTACCCATTGCTGGCTGCCCCTCTGGACACCACCCTAAATCCATTAAATCCAGGGCCAGGACCTGAATCAAACCTACATCTCAAGGTGAGACCTTCTCAATCCAGAGTAAAGCTTGTCTCTTCCCCCTCTTTTCTTCTGGATGCTACAAATCCATTAAAATGGCTAACAAATAATGTTTTCTGGTTTTATCTATTTTTTATCTATTTTTTATCCCAGGTGCCTCCAGCTGTTCTGCCTGATATTTCAACTTAAAATGAGAAATCCAGAGCTGTATCTGGTGTTCTAGCTTTCACAGCAAGACCATGTTAGGGAACATTTCTGCCTTAATCACACACTGATGCTGATGTCAGAGTCACTGTGAAACCTGACACCTTCCTCCAGATCTGTCCTCCGCACCCCTCAAATCCCACCACCCATTCCTCCAACAGATTCAACCACTTCAGATCAGGCCCTGTCCCCACTCATGCTGCTCACAGCTGGGCTGGACTGCCATGCATCCTATGCTTACAGAGAATTATTAATGAACAATTAGGAGGGACTTTGGTTACCTCAAGTTCCCATGTGGGCAGGGATCCTATCTGTCTATACATGAATAAGCACAGAGCAGGACTCGGTAAGTGTTCACTAAGTTTATGTAAATTGGGGTTAACTCCAGAAAACATACACAGCTTTGATGTACAAGACTAGTAAAAAGGCTTTGGTGTCTGGTCAGAAAGGTTCTGACACTAAGCTCCTGGCACTGGGCAGAGTGCAGGCACAAAGGTGGACACACGGGGTCAGGGAGGCCACACTCCTGGGAGGAGAATGGAGAAGGTGTCCCAGGGAAAACACAAAAACTTGGAATTGGGACTGCAGTAAAGGGAGAAGGGGTAGATAGAGGATAAGAGAGGGCACAGGGTGAGAGGATTTGATGGAAGTCACCAGATGGACACAAAGCTGACATGCTTATGTGGCATCCTCTGCTCTGGTTGGGGTGGGGACGGGGCTACCCTTGCACTGTGTTAACCCTGCTAGGGATGGCTACTGGCTAAGGATGATGTTGAGACTCAGGAATGACCCTGTGGCCAGGACAGGACCAGGGGGTTTTCAATGTGCCCCTGATGGACAGATCCTTGAGACTTCAACCACAGTGAACAAGGACCTCAAGCCCCTCTTTTTCCGACCACCTTTGCACAGGCTGCTGCCTCTTAACCTGGGAGATTCTCGCTGACTCTCTGGAGGTGGCAGGCCCTGTTCCCCACTCCAGAGCTGGCCCTTCATGGCCCTGTTCAGGGCTGCTATAACTGCTGCCCCACCATGCTGGGAGCCCCTCTGGGGCCTGGCATGGGGCCAGCACACAGTAGGTCCTCGGTCACAGTCTATGAATATTTGTGAGCCCATCTCTGCTCTAAGTACTCACACAAATACATAACCACAAGCTATGGTGTGTGCTGTACATGAAAATGGCAGAAAAGTTCTCAAGGTCAGAAAAAGCACTTGCTTTGATGTGGTGACATCCATCTCAGGACAGGTGGATGAATCAGAGGGAGAAAAGACAGGCAAAATAAGACAGTGTGTGGAAGAGCGTGTGCAAAGGCCTCGAGGAGAAAAGGAAGTAAAAGAGGGCCCACGTGCTGAGGTCGAAGGGCAATCTCTCAGCCAGATGCTCAGCCAGTCCTAGAGCCTCTGTAGGGGGTCTTCCCCACAGGGCTCTTGATGCCAAGACCCTGGGGCCTCCTCAGCTGGGCCCAGGACCAACCTGGATACAGGGTGAGGCTCGGCCCTGCTGCCGGTGACTGTAGAGTGTGTCGAGCAGCCACTGGAGCTGTGCAGTACTGGTGGGGCTCTGGCTTGAGACTATGCCGAACACCAGGACCTGGCTGGGGTCGCGGCGTGCAGACAGGAAGCGCTCTAGCTCCACGTCAGTTACCAGGGGTGCCTTCACCATGCACTTACAGCCAGCCCGAATGTCTTCCTTGTGAATGAGCTTCCGCAGCACCAGTGGGCAGTCAGAAGGTGAGGCCGCCCACCTGGTGGGGCTGCGCCCCTCTCGAGCCTTCCTTCTGCAATGAGGAACAAGTGGGCCAGTGCTCAGTGGGCCGGGCTCAGGCCCTAACCTCTATGTGCCTCAGTGTTCTCAGGTGCAGAACTGGTGACTCCTTCATCCAACAAAAAGTGTGGAGTCAACTTGAAACCCTTTTCTTTCTCTGACACCCCACATCTCATTCAATCTATCAGTAAGCCGGTCTGCTCTATATCCAAGAATGATCTAGAATCCGACCACTTTCCTGACACAACCCCCTCCCACCCCACTCCTACTGACATGGCCCAAGCCACCATCATTTCTTGCCTGGATACCTGCAATGGCCTCCTAATGGCACTCTGTTTCCTTCCCTGGCCCCTCTTCAATCTATTCTGCATACACCAGACAGGGATCCTGGCTGACAGGGTTCATGTCATGTCACTATTCTCTTTGAAACCCTCCAGTGGTGTTCCATATTTCACAGAATAAAAGCCTAAGTCCCTATGGTGCCTTCCAGGCGCTACATGATCTGGCCTCCTTCCTCAGCCCCTTGCCCTCTCTTACTCTCCAATATTGTCACCTTTGCTTATTGTGCTCAGCTGCTCTAGCCTGTTTATCTCCAGCCTCAGGGCCTTTGTTTTTGCTGTTCCTTCTGCCTGCCTGGCTCTTCCCTTGGGCAGCCACACAACTCACTTTCCTTCCCATCTCCTTTATGTTTTTGTGCAAATGTCACCTTCTCAGGGTGGCCTTCTCTAACTGTTCTATTTGGAATTGCATCCCTTAGCCCTCAAGAAATGAATAAAAACTATCCCTGAGGAAATCCAGCTATTGGACTTACTAGATAAAGATCTTTAAATCAGCTGTCCTAATTATGCCCAAAGTACTAAGGAAACTAGGAATGAATAACTAAAAGAAACAAGGAAAACAATGTCCTACCAAATAGGGAATATCAAGAAGAAATAAAAAGCATAAAATAAGCCAACTAGAAATTTTAAAGTTGAAAGTACAATAAATGAAATGAAAAATTCAACAGCAGATCTGAACAGTCAGGAAAAAGAATCAGTAAACTTGAAGACAGACCAATTAGGATTACCCAGTCTGAGGAACAGAAAGAGAAAACAACAACAAATTAATAGAGGCTAGTTTCACGTGGGACACCAGCAAGAATGCCAAGATACACACAATAGGAATTCCAGAAAGACAAGAAAGAAAGGAGCAGAAAGAATATTTGAAGGAATAATTGCCAAAACTCTTCAAATTTATATATCTCTAAGAAGCTCAACAATCTCTAAGACAAATTCAAAGATATCCACAGTGAGACATATTATAATACAATTGTTGAAAGTGAAAGACAAGAGAATCTTGAAAGCAGCAAAAGTGGTTAATCACATAAAAGCGATCCTCAATAAGATTAACAGCCAATTTCTCATCAAAAATCATGGAGGCTCGGGATCCCTGGCTGGCACAGCGGTTTGGCTCCTGCCTTTGGCCCAGGGCGCGATCCTGGAGACCCAGGATCGAGTCCCACATCGGGTTCCTGGTGCATGGAGCCTGCTTCTCCCTCTGCCTGTGTCTCTGCCTCTCTCTCTCTCTCTCTCTCTCTCTGTGTGTGTGTGTGACTATCATAAAAAAATAAAATAAAATAAAAATAAAAAATAAAAAATAATCATGGAGGCTGGAAGGCAGAATGACATATTTAAAGTAGTAAAAGAAAAAAACCTTTCCAACAAAGAATTCTATATTGAGCAAATTTATCCTTCAAAAATAAGAGAGAAGGGGATCCCTGGGTGACGCAGCGGTTTGCCTCTCTCTCTCTCTCTCTGTGTGTGACTATCATAAATAAATAAATAAATAAAAATTAAAAAAAAATAAGAGAGAAATCAAGATAAAAGCTGAAGGAGTTTGTCATTAGTAGACCTGCTGCAAAAGAAATGCTAAAGTGCCTTTAAATTGAAATGGAAAAATACTAGACAGTAGCTTGAAACTATATGAAGAAATAAAAAACAAAATCAAGATGCATAAAATGTAGTTTTTGAGAACAACATGGCAGAAGGATGAGTTTCTATAGGAGCTGAGATTTTGTACACTTTTGAAGCTAAGTTTGTATTAATTCAAGCTAGACTAACTACCAAGAAAATAACTAAAAACTATACATAAAAGGAAATAAGGGAATCAAAATTGTATGTTTTGGGTGGCTCATTGATTAAGTATCTGACTCTTGATTTTGGTTCAGGTCATGATATCATGGTCGCTCTCTCTCTGCTCCTCCCCCCACCACTCACACTCTTTCTTTCTCTCTCTCACCTAAAATAAAACAAGTAAAATCTTAAAAAAAAAAACACTGTATGTATTAGTTAGGGTTCTCTAGAAACAGAACCAATAGGATATATAGGATATATAGATAGGATATATAGGATATATAGATAGGATAGGATATATAGAAAGATATATCAGAGAAAATGTATTACAGGAGTTGGTTCATGTGATTATACAGGCCAAGAAGCCTCACAATCTGCTGTCTATAAATTGGAGAGCCAGGAAATTCAGTAGTTTAATTTAATCTGAGTCCAAAGACCTGAGAACCAAAGGAGCCATGGTGTAATTCCTAGGCCTAGGCCAAAGGCCCAAGAACCAGGAGGCTGCTGTATAAGTCCTAGAGTCCAAAGACTCAAGAACCAGGAGCTCTGATAGCCAAGGGCAGGAAGAAATGGACTTTCCAGCTCAGGAAAAGAGAGAAGGAATTCACATTCCCTTAGTTTGTTTGTTTTTTTTTTTGTTTGTTTGTTTGTTTTATTCAGGCCCTCAGTGGATTGGATAATGCTGACCCCCATTGGTAAAGATGGATCTCTTTACTCAGTCTACTGAATCAAATGCTAATCTCTTCCAGAAACACATTCATAGACACATCCCCAAATACTATCTTCCCCTTAGCCTAGTCAAGTTGGAACAAAATTAAGCATCACACCACACACTAACATACATAAAAAGAAGAAAAAAAAAAAAAAAAAAAAGAAGAAACAAAAGAAAAAATCAACAATGGATGAATTGAGGAACAAAATATAAGATTTATGGAAAACCAATAATAAAATGGGAGAAGTAAGTCCTTTAATAGTAATTACTTTTATATGTAAAATGGATTAAAATCTTCACCAAAAACCAGAGATTGGCAGGATGGAAAAGAAAAAACAACTCATGATCTAAGTAAATGCTCTCTATAGGAGACTCAAAGATACAACTAGGTTGCAAGTAAAAAGATAGAAACAAATTCCAAGCAAATAGTAACCAAAAATGAACAAGGGTGGCTAAACTAATACCAGACAAAGATATACTTTAAGTAAAAAAGTTATTTCAGGAGATAAATAAGGCATTATAATTTAAGAACAGGGTCATTCTCACGAGAAATACAACAATTATGAATATATATTATATATATGCAATATGACAATACAACCTCTAAATAAATGATGCAAAAATGGAGAGATTGAAGGGAGAAACAGAAAATTCTACTCTAAGTCTAGTTGAGGATGTCAACACCCTATTTTCAATAATGAATCAAACAACTAGAAAGAAGATAAACAAGAAAATACACAATTTAAAGAACACTGTAAACCAACTTAACCTAAAAGACATGTATAGGTAATTTAACTCAACTATAGCAAAATATACATTCTTCTCAAGTACACATGGAACATTCTCCAGTATAAATTATATATTCACCCATCAAAAAGTCCCAATAAATTAAAAAATAATGAAATCATACAAAATATTTTCTCCAACAACAGTGGAATAAAATTAGAAATCAGTAACAGAAGGAAATTTGTAAAACTCATAAATATGTGGAAATTAAGCAATACATTCTTAAACAATGGATCAAAGAAGGAATCACAAGAAAAATTAGAAAATACTTTGACATTAAAGAAAACAAAACAACTGGGGGTCCCTGGGTGGCTCAGCGGTTTATCACCTGCGTTTGGCCCAGGGCCCGATCCTGGAGTCCGGGATCGAGTCCCACTACGGGCTTCTGGCATGGAGCCTGCTTCTCCCTCCTCCTGTGTCTCTGCCTCTCTCTCTCTCTCTCTCTCTCTCTCTCTCTCTCTCTGTCTATCATAAAATAAAATAAATCTTTAAAAAGAAAAGAAAACAACCCCAAATACCAAAGCTTATGGTATACATTGAGAAGAGTACTCAAAGGGAAATTTATAGTATTAAGAGAGAAGAAGGAGCTCCAATCAATAACCTAATAAAACTTTACACTAGGAAAACAAGAATAATCTAAACCCAAAGCAAGGAGAGGGAAGGAAGTCATTCTCAGTAGAGTCAAGATAAAGAAAATAGAAAATAGGGACGCCTGGGTGGCTCAGTAGTTGAGCATCTGCCTCTGGCTCAGGACATGGTCCCGGGGTCTTGGGATTGAGTCCCACATTGGGTTTCCCTCAAGGACCCTGCTTCTCCCTCTGCCTATGTCTCTGCCTCTTTCTCTGTGTCTCTCATGAATAAATAAATAAAATATTTTTAAAAATAAAATAGAAAATAGAAGGCAATATAGAAAAACAACAAACAAAATGTTGGCTCTCTGAAAAGATCAACAAAGTTGACTAATCTTTAGTTAGATTAAGAAAAAAGAGGGAAGACTCAAATTACTAAAAAAAAATATGAAAGTGAGACATTACTACTGATCTTACAAAACTAAAAAGGATTATAAGAAGTTATTGTGAACTCTACATGAACCAATTAGACCTAAAAGAAATGGATCAATTCCTAGAAATGCACAAACTATGAAAACTGACTGAAGGCCTCTAACAAGTAAAAAGATTGAATCAGTAATCAAAAAAACTTTCCAACAAAGAAAAGCCCAGGACCATATGGTTTCACTTTTGAATTCTACCAAACACTTGGGTAACTAACACCAGTTGTCCTCAAATTCTAAAAAATAGAACAGGAAAGAACACTTCCTAACTCATTCTATGAGGCCAGCATTACTCTAATACCAAAGCCAAAGACAAGAAAAGAAAAGACTACAAGTGGATATCCATTATGAAT